CCCTTGTTTTTCTCTTTTCTTCACTTTTTTCCACTTTTCTCGTTTTTTTTCCCTTTTCAATTTTTGTCACTTTTTTCTTGTTTTCTCTCATTTTTCTCACTTTTTTCTATTTTTTCTCATGTTCTTTTTCACTTGTTTTTTCTCTTTTTTTTCTCTTTTTTTTCACTTCTCTTTTTTCTCTTTTTTTTTCCACTTCTCTTTTTTCTATTTTTTCCCCATTTTTTTTCACTTCTCTTTGGGGTTTTTTTCCTCTTTCTCTTATTTTTTTTTTCTTTGTTTTCTGTCACTTTTCACTTCTCCTTTTTCCTCTTGAGTTTTCCATTTCTCATTGTCTCTCTGACTTGGCCTGGAAAAAAAGGGCCTGGGAAAAAAAGGGCTGGAAAAAAGGCCTGGAAAGGGCCCACAAAAGAGGCTGGAAAAGGCTTGAATTCCCAAAAAAAGGCTGGAAAGGGCCTGGATTTCCAAAAAAAAAGGCCGGAAAGGGCCTGGATTCCCCAAAAAAGGCTGGAAAGGGCCTGGATTCCCAAAAAAATAGGCTGGAAAGGGCCTGGATTCCCCAAAAAAGGCTGGAAAGGTCCTGGATTCCCAAAAAAATAGGCTGGAAAGGGCCTGGATTCCCAAAAAAAGAGGCTGGAAAAGGCTTGAATTCCCAAAAAAAAACAGGCTGGAAAGGTCCTGGATTCCCCAAAAAATGGCTGGAAAGGTCCTGGATTCCCCAAAAAGCCTGGAAAGGGCCTGGATTCCCAAAAAAAGCCTGGAAAAGGCCTGAATTCCCAAAAAAAAAAAACAGGCTGGAAAAGGCCTGAATTCCCAAAAAAAAAAGCTGGAAAGAGCCTGGAAAAGGGCTCAGAAAAGGGCTGGAAAAGGCATGGAAAGAGCCTAAAAAGGCCCCAAAAGAGCCTGGAAAAACTTGGAAAAGTCTTTTCCAGGTTTTTTCCAGCCCCAGGGAGGAGTTGGTTGGATCCCTGGGCAGGACTGGGAATGCTGAGCCATTCCCAGAGGGATCTGGGACAGGTTCCAGGTCTCAATGGGAATTCCCACCTGGAAAAATCCTTTGGAATTTGCTCTGTTATTTGATTTTCTTCTTTTATTTTTCATGTTTCTCATTCCCTGGATTTATTTTCCAGGATTTATTTTCCAGTATTTTCCTGGGCTGGGAATTCCCTCCTGGAAAAATCCTTCGGCATTTACTCTTTTATTTGACTTTATTTTTCATGTTTCTCATTCTTCCATGTATTTATTTTCCAGGATTTATTTTCCAGAATTTTCCTGGGTTGGGAATGGGAATTCCCTCCTGGAAAAATCCTTTGGAATTTGCTATTTTATTAGACTTTCTTTTATTCCTTATATTTCTCATGTTTCTCATTCCCAGTGTTTATTTTTCAGTATTTATTTTCCAGTATTTATTTTCCTGTGGTTTTTTTCAGTATTTATTTTCCAGTATTTTTCCAGTATTTATTTTCCAGTATTTATTTTCCTGTGGTTTTTTTCCTGTATTTACTTCCTTTATTTACTTTCTTTATTTACTTTCTTTTATCTCCAATTTTTTTGCCTCCTCCTTTATTTTCCTTCCTGGTTTTTTTTCCCATTTATCTCATTTATCTCCTTCCCCTCCCAAAGCTGCAAATGCCTCAAGGCCTCAGGAACAAACTGGGCTGGACTGGGGTGAACTGGGCTGGACTGGGATGGATTGGGCTGGGATAGACTGGGATGGATTGGGCTGAACTGGGATGGACTGGGGTGAACTGGGATGGATTGGGCTGGGCTGGGGTAGACGGGGATGGACTGGGCTGAACTGGGATGTACTGGGATGGATTGGGCTGGACTGGGATGTGGTGGACTGGGATGGACTAGGATAGACTGGGCTGGACAGGG